TTTTTTTTTTTTTTTTTTTTGACACAAGGTTTTTCTATGTAGCCTTGGCTGTCTGGGAATTCACTCTGTAGACCAGGCTGGCCTTGAACTCATAGATCCACCTGCCTCTGCCTCGGGAGTGCTGGGATTGCAGGTGTGCAGGACCACTGCCCTGATGTTTCTGGTGCTTTAAGATTCTAAATTAGGGAAGAGGACCTCCCTATCAGTGGACTGGGGGAGGGGCAGGGAGGAGAAGAGGGAGGGAGGATGGCATTGGGAGGGGACTAGGAAGGGGGCTACAGCTGGGATACAAAGTGAATAAACTGTAATTAATAAAAAAAAATTTTAAAAAAAGATTCTAAGTTTTGTTCTTCCCATCTAAGAGCCTCTGTTGTATTTACAGTGAGAACCAAAGCTCTTTACTTAGATGAGTCTGCATTGTAACTGGCTTCATTGTTTCCTCCACCACTGAAAACTTATACACATATCTAAAGACCTATGTGCAAAGTCACTGTAATACAGTAACTACAGATATAAGTTTCTTTTATATCATTTGTATTCTTCTCAATTAAAATCATCTCATCAGAGTTCTTAGTGAATGATTATAATTTATTCTTGTCCTTTTTTTCTTTCATCCTTTTCTTTGTTTACTTTTGCAACTTGACACAAGCTAGTGTTATCTGGGAAGAGGAACCTCAATTTACAAAAGGCCTCCTTCGAAAAGCCTGTTAGCAAGTCTATAGGGCTTAATTAATTCTTGATTCGGGAGGCCCAGCCTGCTGTGGGTGTTGCCACTCCTGCTGCTGAGTGAGGTCTTGAATTGAGTAAGAAGGCACGAAGAGCAAGCTTTCTGTAGAGAGCCAGTGAGCAGCAATCCTCAAGGGCTTCTGCTTTGGTTAGTGCTTGAAACTCAAGTTTCTGCTTGAGTTTCTGTCCTGAGTTCCCTTGGGGATGGATTTGACCTGAAAGTAGTAAGCTGAAATAAATCCTATCTTCCCTAAGTTACTGTTGGTCATAGTGTTTTATTAAAGCAATAGAAACCCTAACTAAGAGAATTCTCTTAATCTCTTTTCTATCACACACTTAGTACTAATGATTTCTTTGTTTCTCAATAAGATTTCCATTTTCTGTAATATTCCATTTAACACAGTATTCCATATTCTGTAGTAGTCTGGGTTGCTAATAATAATTTGTCTGCATGTGACCTTTATATTTTGTGGATGGAACATCCAATGTAAACACTTAAGGACAGTATATGCTTTCTTTTAAAGAAATGAGATCTAATACTGTGACCAACAGAACCGTGTGTTTCTACTTCATGTTTAATATGAGTGTCTTATTTACTGTTCTACTGCTAAGAAGAGATACCATGACCAAGGCAATTTATAGAAGAAATCATTTAATTGGAGGACTTGTTTACGGTTTCAGAGTATGAATCTATTATCATCATGATGGAGAGCATGGCAGCAAGTGTGTAGGCCAGCCAGCAGGATGGTGAAGAAGTAGCTGAAAGTTACATCCTGATGCACAGGCAGCAGGCAGTGAGGGGGAGACAGCAAGCCATGAGCTTTTGAATCTTGAAATTAATTTCTTTTTGTGTTTTCTGAATTACAGTACAGTGAGTATAGGTATAGAATTCTAGTGTAGTTTTTCATTTCTATAAATACAGTATACATTTCTAAAAGTATAACTATAAATTCAGGTCTCCATTTAATGATAAGCATTGTGAAGAATGTTTTTATTCTTATCTCATCTTTTACTCACCAGGAACAAACCCCTATAAAAGAAAAAATGTGAGGCCATTGATGGGAAAAATGTTCCTTATTCAACACCAGAAAATCAAATGTGAAGAATGTGGTAAGGACATTAGTTTCAACTCAACACTTTATACACACCTAAAAAATCATACTGAAGAAAAATCCTGCAAGTGTGAGAAATGTGGCCAAGCATATGTGTATCCTTCATTGCTTAAGGAACATCAAATAACTCATTCTGGAGAGAAACCCTACTTGTGAAAAATGTGGCAAAGTATATTCATATCACTCATTCCTAAGAAAACATCAAAGACTTCATTGTGAAAAAAACTTTCTAGTGTCAAAAATGTAGCAATGTGTTCCCTCATCCTTCATTCCTTAAGATTCATCAAGGATTTCATTCTGGAAAGAGCCCCTACAAGTGTGAAGAATGTGGCAAAGTATTTTTCCATCATTCATTGCTTAGATGGCATTAAATGATTCATTCTGAAGAGAAACTCTGTAACTGTGAAGAATGTAGCAAAGTCTTTTACTTTCCTTCATTCCTTAAGCAACATCAAAATATTTATTCTGGAAAGCCTACAAGTGTGAAGTAGCAAAGCATTTTCCTGTACTTCTTTGCTTAGGAAACACCAAAGAATCCATTTTGAAAAGAAACACTACAAGTGAGAAGAATGTGCCATCCTTACTATCCTACATTGCTTAATCAACACAAAAAAAAAAATCATACTGGTGAGAAATGGTACAAGTGTGAAGAGTGTGGCAAAGCATTTAACTATCCTTCATTGCTTAATCAACACAAGGTGACTACGGGAGAGAAACCCTACATGTGTGAAGGGTGTGGCAAAGCTTTTCATATGTGTGTAGGCCTTCACAGCACCAACAAATTCATACTGGACAGAAGCTACACATACATGAAGAGTGTGCCAAGGCATTTTCCTTTCTTTCATAACTTAAAGGGCCACCAAAGGACCCATTCTGTAGAGAAACCCTTCAAAGGTGAGGAGTGTGACAAAGGTTTTTCCTGTAGCTCATACCTTAAAAGCCATCAAAGTACTCATTCTGGAGAATATCCACACAAGTGTGGGGAATGTGGCAAAGCCTTTAGGAACACTGGTATCCTTACTCAACACAAGATAGTTCATACTGGAGAAAAAAACCCAACAAATGTGAAGAGTGGCAAAATGTATTACTTTTCTACAGCCTTTAAGAAACATCAAAGAATACTTTCTAAAGAGAAGACTTAGAGCATGTGGAAACGGGCAAAGGCTTTGGAAAGAGTCAGATCTTCCCCAGCACAAATGCATCCACATATGCATGCGTATGTGAAGACTGCGGTGAATGCTCTACCGCTGAGTGAACACCTTCTACCACCTGTAACGTTCATATGGAGAGAAACAGTCCAAACAGGAAGAGAATGACAAGGCTTTTAAGCAGCACAAAAGTATTCATACTGAACACCACACCTACAGACATGGGAAATGTTGTTAACTCTTATTCAATCTCAGATAATTCCCATTTGAGACAAATCTTACTCACACACACATTCACAAACATACATATGTACATGGATGCATATATATATATACATACATATATACAGCTAGGAATTTAGCTTTATCTTGTCTCTATAAGTATCAGAGTATCCATACCAGTAATGAGTCCTACAAAAGCAAACAATGTGGCCAATTGTTTGTTGTTGTTTTTTTCCCACACCGTAAGTATCCTCAGAGACTTCAAAGAGGAGAAAAACTCTATACACAGAGAATATGGTAAAGGCATAAACAATACTTCAATACTCTCAACAATAAACAATACTCTCAACATAAAAAAAATGACATTTGTGACAAAAACTGCAAATGAAGCTGAGCCAGCTAGATTCAGCTGGCAGCATACTCCAGCCCAGCTTTATCCGAGGCACTCTCAGCAGGATGGCCACCTGAACCAAACTGGCCTACTGGTGTGTGTATGATGCAGCCTACTTTTATATACCATTCAGACTGGTTGAGGTGTGAAGATCCACTCTAAATGTAGGCAACACATTCCATGAGCTGCCCTTCTAGACTGAATTTTGTTTGAAATAAAAGGAAAAAGGAAGGGGCTGGAGAGATGGCTCAGTGCTTAAGAGCACTGACTGCTTTTCGTAGAGGACCTGGGTTCAATTCCTACACAGTAGCTCACAACTGTCTGTAAATCCTGTTCCAGGGGATCTGATACCCTCCCATAGACATATGTGCAGTCAAATACCAATGTACATTAAAAAAAGAAAAAGGAGAAAGGAGCAACACGTGCAAGCACCTGTGTTCATGGCTCTGCTTCTTTGGGATGAAGTGTTATCTTGAGTTCATCCTCCCATAATGGGCTCTATTCTCAAATTATGGTCAGACTCACCCTTCCTTCCTTCCTTCGGTGGCTTGTCAGACAACTTACCAGAGCAACAAAAAGCCCTAAAAAATAGAGAATATTATGGTAAGTTAGTGTGGTGATGCCAACTTAAAATTCTGAACTTAGGAGTTAGAGAGGAAGGAAGATCAATCACGTATAAGCTCAATCACGATTAAACAGGAAATTCCAGCCAGTCTGGAGTATATTAGACTTATCAGAGTATAAAAGAATTATAGTTTTGAGAATTATACCTTTATTGCATTATTTAATTTTTTACAATTTTTTTGCCATAGTGTTCCACCTTTAAATTTATATACAATATGACTTCTCATGGGTTTCATTTGTCCCATTAATATGTAAACACAAGTGTTATTGCCAGTGAGAAATCTGCTGCAGATATGCTGGATAATCACCTCTGCATGACAGAGGAATGACACTTACATGGATTTCGTTTTTAGAAGGTTTACTAACCTGTTAAATTATCATCAAACACAAATAGAAACAGTTACATGACCATATATATTTATTATATTTTTAATGAGGGCCCCTACAAAGGCACTAATCATTTTCTAGACCCAAGAGAATTCTAACTAACACTCTTCTGTTGATGCCATTTACCACAAAGAGTGTATAGCTTATCTCGTGTGCCTAATACAATAGAAATACTGATATGTGTGTCATCAGATAGCTACTCTA